TACATCCTTCTAAAAGCTGTAGCAGCGGAATTTCTAGATCGGATACGTCGGGAGCTGACATCATGTCGGTGCGATGGAGGACCAACCACGCCATCAGATATGTATATGGTAGCTCAACTCTCGACAGGGGAATCTTACTTGAAGGCTTAGCACCCACTTTTGTAAAAGTGTTGGCTAAATTGCGCAGACCGCTATGAATATCAGCAATCATAGCAGAGAGTAAAGATAATCTACCTCCGATGGCTAATTGAACAGCTGGAAAGAGGACCTCAAGAGGAAGAGCATCTGAAGATTGATGCGGCACTACACACCTCTTTAGCCATATGGCCAAATAGCCAGAGAGAAGAGTCTCAGGTTTCATCCTCTTTGTGGTTTGCCACAAGAAAGTGCTGAATTTCGCCCCCCTCGGAAAACCACCTTCAGATGATCCGGTCGTGTAAGATTGAGCATTGATCTTTGTGATTAACTTATTAACATCAGAAGGGGTCAAGGTGAGTGATTCACAAACGGCCTCACCAGTCGAGCTTTCGAGATTCTGGAACAAGTAATCGGCGAACTGCTTCAGACTGACTTGAGCTGCCTTCTTACTCTTTACCTCGATCCTGGCTATTGCTGTTTGGTAATGGCAAGTTAATTCCCAAAGAATGTCATAAGTTACTCTTTACCTCGATCCTGGCTATTGCTGTTTGGTAATGGCAAGTTAATTCCCAAAGAATGTCATAAGTAGCAAAACCATCCTTCTTCATCTTCATAAGTTGACGATTGTTGGAAAAATATTCTTGATAAGGAGTATTCCCCAATGGCAATCCCGATACTTTCATCATTTCGTGGAGCGGAAGCCCTAATTCCCCATACTTAGTGAAGCATGTATTTGTATCTGGATTATAAGACTCGAACAGGACGAGGAAGTGATCTACACTTATAGGGAGACCATGCATGCTAGCTCGGAATGGAATATATAATCCCAAGTTCGCTAACTCTTGACCCCAACGATTGAGCACGTAGTTGGTCATCCTAGACCACCATTTGTCTGGGAGCGAGTGGACCCATCCATAATATCTGAACTTCGGAAGGAGGAACTCTCTACCGACCCGAGCAAGCCTATTCTTCACAGTGTTAGCCTTTATCATCAGTTCATTCTGAGGCCCACTATCTGGTCCAAGTATCCCGGGATGAAGACCACGAATAGTATGCCGACCATTGGAGCCAGGAGCACTAATATCCTTACTAATGAATCCGCAATGGATGCGTTCATGGTCATCTGTCAAGTGCCACGACATCTTCCTCGAGACGGTTAAATTCCTTAATTGCAGAATCGAGTACTGTCGAGGGAAAGGAGGGAGGAACAGAAAATCCCCTTCATGTTCATTCAACCAAGCTTCAGGACCACAACAAAGATTATCCGGATCTTCAATCGAATCCCCGAACAAATAATCAGGTTTCTTTAACGGCTCGATGGAATCTTGAGTGGAGGTTAAAGGCGAATCAGTCAACAGTTGACGCAGCGTACGACGATTTCCTTCACGAACCAGTTCGGGAATATTATCGTCACAACCTTCATTGAACTAACGGGCCTCTCTGACCAAAAAATCGCCATTGAAGGAAGCGTGGAGAACACCACTCTGGCCCAGATCTTCTCTATCAGAAAAGGCCACAGAAGGAAAGTGGACTACAGAGAAAGTTGGAAAACAATTGAATAAAAGAGGCTAAAGGAGCAAAACCCCCGCTCTAAGTAGCCGCGGCAGTGTTTACTGCCGCGCATTGCCGCGACAGTGCATGCTGCAGCGTTCAACCGCGGCAGCACGTGCTGCCGCAGTAACTGAATAGTGACCCTTGGCTTCGAAAAACCACGAGTTTGAGGAAAACTCGTATTTTGGCTATGGTACATGTCTTGATTAAACAAGATATGTATTTTATAGTGTCAATCCCCTCGAAGGAGGATGTCAACTCTTCCCGGATGACTCTCAAAAGAGACAAACGAGGGAATGTGCACAAAATCACAACTTTTAAGCAATCAAAATGATGAAGAGCTTACCTCCATAGGAAGAGGCAGCAGCCTCAACCTCCTCCGACACCTGGGCCGATGATTTGCCCTTAGCAACCCATGATCTCTTCGCGGACATGATGAAAACTGATCCAAGAAAGAAAAAGTTAGGATTTTGGATGAAATTCCAAACAGAAACCGAAACAAAACCCTAAAATACAATACATAAGTTCGGCCTTACCAGAAGACAAGAAATATTGGGCTCGAAAGGTGAAGGAACCGAAGCAAGTCTCAAAATCTGGAAAAAAAAACGTGAAACCCTAGATCTTGTTCGAAAGAAAAATCACCCAAATATGAAGAGGTGGAGAGGGGAAAAGCAAAAAAAAAAAAATCCTTTTATAGGATATTTGAAGAGGTTTCGAACTCAAAACAGCGGGGAAGAATGACCCGAAAAGGCCCAACATCGGTCTTATAAGCTGACTGGCCAACACTCATGCGCGGCAGTCGACACTGGCGCGCTATAGCGCATCAGTCTACGCTGGTGCGCTATAGCACAGCAGTCGACGCTGGCGCGCTAGAGCTAGCAGTCGACGCTGGCACCCTAGCGCGCGACAATCAATGCTGTCGCGCCAACGCGCTTCAATGGATAATTATATTCATATAGGTATATTTCCTACTACATTTGGAAAGCATACCCCACACTCCGATGAGTATATGAGTATAAACTGCATCTCCTTGAACCTCCTAACGGGTATATGAGGTTAAACTATTTCCCGAACACTCCAATGAGTATATGAGTATAAACTGCATCTCCTTGAACCTCCCAACGGGTATATGATGTTAAACTATTTCCCGAACACTCCAATAAAGTATATGAGTATAAACTATTCCTTCGCCAGCTTTAATTTAAGATTTTAACAACAGTCAGACGATAAACACAGCATCGGAAGAATTTTAGCTATTCTACAAAGCACTGAATAGACTGAAAGATGAAGAAGTCAGGAATTGAAGCTATTCATAGATTCTTCTACGTAATCTCCTCAACAAGGTATTGAAGAGATTGTAAGTAAAATTTATCCTATCCAAAGTGTCCCAGACTCCTCTCTAAAGGAATGAGTCTGAGATACTTTGGAGGGGGTATCTGTAGGCGTCAAAAAATGCTCATAGATATCCAAACACAACTCAAGGCTGAGAAGAGAACAATGTGCATGCGACGATAAAATACACCGACGAGCAGCCCATGGTGGCGCGCCTTAGGCGTGACAGTCCATGGTGGCGCGCCTATTGCACGACAGTGCATGGTGACGCGCCTATTGCACGTCAGTCCATGATGACGTGCAAACTACAGGGAGCTGCCACGGCGGTTAAAAAAGCAGTTATACGATGATTTTCAAGGTCCACATGGCGGCATATCAGAAAAAGAACATGTTCTGACGTGTACAAGCGGTTAAACTACGAAAAAAGTAGTTAAAATTCGTGGGAGGGCAGTTTCAAGCACGATGGGAATGTGGCTGTAACCGCTTCTTTGGCCGCGCCAGTCCACACTGGCGTGCTAATAGCCGCGGCAATGTGGACTGACGCGCCCAAAGAGCAGTCACTTGGTCAATTATTTCGCCCTCATTTTTTCTGTTGTGCACTCCTATCCCTATAAATACCCCCCTAGGATCATTACTGACGAGGATCGAGCAAATTGGAGCAGATCTGAGCATAGAGAGCAGATTAGGGTATAGAGACTTGCGATTTTGATAATTTTGAGGAAGAGAGAGAGAATTTTCACCTTTCATAAACAACGTTTGGTGATTCTTAGAGATCTAAGCTCAAACTTGATCTTTGGAAGAGTGAACATCTTACATCGATAAGATATTCGTTTCAAATTCCTACTTCGATAAACGAAGGAACAATCTCTAAACCCCCTCACAATCTGTGAATCGGTGGTCCATGAGCTAACGTACTCCCGGCACAGGTAAAGTCCCACAAAACAGGAGTCGATAAACGATTTCTGTGTTATTTTCTCGAGAATTGTAATTTTCTTATTTAAACGATTTCTGTGTTATTTTCTCGAGAATTGTAATTTTCTTATTTTTCATTGTAATTCTCTGTAAACAATCGAAGTAATTTTCTTATTTTTCATTGTAATTCTCTGTAAACAATCGAAGTTTAATGGAATCATCAATGAAACCAAATTTTCGACGAAAACAGGAATATCAGATATTCTAAGCAAAAGCTAAAAATTGTATTTTTTTTCTACGCCTCCCGCATGACCGAAATAATGATTGAAAGAAAGAGGCTCATTGGAGTAGCACACCGCAAATGGAAAAGACAATCGGTTAGTATGAAACAAATGAAAAGGGCTTAACTCAAAAACACAGGGTCCATGCCCACGTCCAAAATTCTAAATGCAAAGTCCAGACCCGCATCCAGAATTACGAACGCAGGGACCAGACCTGCATTTAGGATTTCGAACGTAGGATCCAGACCCGTATTCAAAATTCAGAATGCAGGGTCCGACCCTACGTTGTAATATCGTAAATGATGGAGTTAACAATGCGTTTCAAATCGAGAAACACTAAGAATGATCTCTGTGTTTTAATGGTGGAATGTGAACTTTTAGTCAACGTTGAGGGTAAAGAACTTGTCGAAACAAGTTATGATCGCCAAAACCTACCATCAATCGAGGAAGCTTGAGGTGGCGGCACGGTGGTTTGAACACCCCCGGTGGCTTTGGTCGACGGAGCACCCTGAGCTTGGATTATCTTTGATTTGGAAGTGGTTCTCTTCTTGTGAGTCATTCTAACCTTGGCAAAGAGGATAGAAAATGGTCGATGAATGATTTAAGAACTAATCTTTCCTCCGTTGAAGCACCGGAGAAGATAAATAGGAATCCTGTAAAGTGGTCAACAGGAGAGCAAAAAAGTAAAAGTCGAATGACTTTTTTATTTGACCTTAATGATCCATTTATATACAGCTATATCTGTCAAGTCGGTGCGGGATTTTAGGCGAAAATCCTACCCAAAACATGATTTTCGTGTTTTCAAATAAGTTGTTTCAACCTCTAAACGTAGCCCCACATTCTGATTATCAAACACACAATTTAGCCCTGCGTTTTGATGCTCAAGCTTCAGACATTGAGAGGAAAGTTAACAATGACCATCAAGGTGACGAAAGCAAGAAGAAACTAGCCTATGATAAGAAACTATGTAGCCTCTTGGACGAGTACACAAGCTATAGTCAATTATCAAGCTCGATCTTTAACACAACTCATCCTTTCAAATGGCTTAACATTCCAACCAAAATTAATAACGATGTTGTTGAAATCATTACCCCAGTTGAGATGATCAAGAAAGGAGACAATGTGGGTTCCCCTGAGGTTGCCCTCCTTACCAAACTTAGGATAAGATCCTTCTCGTATGGTGTAGTAATCCTCTTTGACTATGACGATGGATCTATCTTCAGCTTAAAGATGTTCAACTTCACTGAGGCTGATCTCGTTGACAAGTTTACAGCTGGTGTTATTACGATTGCTTCGCTGTCCTTAGCTCTCTCTTACCCAACTCTTGCAACAACGCCTCACATGTTTATCAATGCCTACAAGAACATCCTTACGAGTGTTGTTGGCATTGAATACACATTCATACAAGTTGAAGGAGTATCTCAAGGATCAAAGCAAATTCGATGTTACTTTCGATTCTATATCATTGGCTAGGAATGTTGTTATTCCTACTGCTGAAGAAAGAGGGAAGTTAATCCTACTAATGGATCTAACGATGATGACTTAAGACTTTAGCTTGTTTGACTAAGTTTCTTGTCATCAATATACAAAAGTTATCTTGTTTGGTTTAAGGAAGTAGAATTGCGACATTTCGACAACCAAGTTCGCAATGTCTTTCAATCAGACGGAGTGAACAATCATTCAACAAACTTTGAGATCCAAAGTATTCCAAAAATTCGTCCTAGTCAACCACAAACTTTCAAAAACTTTAGAGGGGGTTCTATAGGCTATCTAAAAATCATACCAAGATAGTTAATACCCATTAAACACAAATGATAGAAGTTACAACCTGATGACTTCCACATCAGCAATAAGATAAAGAAAGTTACAAACAAATGACTTTCACGTTAACAAAGGAATGCTACAATTGGAGTATTCTCAGCAATTCAACAAAGAAAGTTATAAGTAGACGACTTTCACGATAATCGATGAAAGCTCTGATTCAACAGTCATTATAATCAACAGTGAGAGTTACAGTCTGACGACTCCCACATTTTAGAAAGCTAAAGCAAAGATTACAAAACGACGATCCTTGCGACGCTCTATCAGAAGAGATTACAAGTCAATAATCTCTTTAGTCCAAAACATAGAACTTACTTCTGTGGTGAAACACAATTAGCAGCGTTCCAGAGCCAAGACAACGCATGTCCAATTCAACTGCTAAACGCAGTTCGATTCAGCTACTAACGCAACGTCCAAACACTGCGTTCAAACACAAGGTTCATGACCAGCAACTCAAGACCTATGTTTGACCTATTCAAACGTGATCTTAATAGCTCTAGAAACCACTGTTCACCCACGATCTGGGGAGCAGTTTAAGTGGGTTGTTACACCCGATTAATGGGACAACTAAACCCTCATTAAGGAGCAGATTAGGAGAGCAGTTACACCCCTTAATCCCCATATAAACATCAACAAACTCAACTGAGTTGGGGATCGACTCTGGAGAGATCAGATCAGAGAGATTGAGCTTTTTGAATCGAATTTCTTAAGGAATTCTTCAGCAACAGAAAGTGAGGATACTTGGTTATTAACCGATTTACGGTTCAAACAACTCTTTGCATAGAGTTTGAACTCATTCTGAGATCTTAAACCTCATTAAGAGTTCCTTCAATCATTCCAATAAAGGAAGACGTACGGATCGTCAATGGAAAGCAAACTCGACGCGAGTATTCGAGGGAAGCAGTACATCGCTACCGTGAAGGACTCATAATTAAACAAAGGGGAGAATTTACATCAATTCTCTTCTCTTTTGTAATCGAGAATTCAAATTGTAATCGAGATTGAGAGAGTTGTAAACATTATTTTTCTAAGCAGTTAGAAGGAATAAATCAAATTCAATTCTTTTAATTTTCTTATTGCAAATTTTCCAACAAACACCTACTTCTGAACTTGTTTGTATGCTCGCCTTGGCCTAGTGGAAACCAAACTATCTTCGAGCTACTGTTGTTGTAATACCTATACATTTTCTTGCTGAACCACCTATTCAAGCTCATCATCACACTTTTCCTGAGTGTCTCCATGATCCACCTCTTGAACACGACTAGAACCTGGTTGGTCTTTAGGTTCTATCTCAATCACTTGGGATTTTGAGGTCCCAACAGTCTCGACACCATCATCCTCGGGCACCCTAGCTTTTGATAAAGCTATTATGGATTTCTCATCAAATATAACATCTTTGCTGATCATGAACTTGGAACCTTCTGTACACCAAAGGCGATAACCTTTTACGCCCTTTGCATACCCCAAGAATATTGCCTTCTTGGCCCTCACATCAAGCTTTCCCTCGTTGACGTGATAGTAAACTGTACATTCAAAAATCCCGAGGCTATCATAATCAGTATGCTCCCTTGACCAAACCCGATAGGGTATATCACCATCCAATGTCGAATGTAGATAACGATTCACTATGTATCAAGCTGTAGCAACCGCTTTTGCCCACCATTCTTTGCCCAAACTAGTATATGATCGTATACTCATTACTTTCTCCTGCAATGTATGGTTCAGTCTCTCTATGACTCTATTCTGCCATGGTGTAGACCTGACTGTCCTGTGTCGAGCAATACCCTCCTGATCACAGAACTTCTTGAAAGCACTATCTGTATACTCTGTACCGTTATCAAATCTCAGTCTCTTCAATTTCCTACCTATTCTGTTCTCAACCATTACTTTCCACTTCTTGAATGTCTCGAATTCTTCATTCTTATACTTAAAAAAATAAATCCAAGCATACCAAGAATGATCATCTATAAACGAGAAAAAATATACCTGGAACCGCCCTTGAAAGTTATTGGAGCCGGACCCCAAACATCTGTATGCACATAGTCTAATATGCCTCTGCTCTTGTACTTACTTTTCAAGAACTGGACCTGTGCGCCTTTCCGTACACACAATCCTCGTAAAAATCTATGCAAGGTTTTTTCATGTTCTTCAGCAAACCTTCCTTACTAAGCAGATCTAGATCCTTCTTTGACATGTGCCCAAGTCGCCTATTCCATAACCGAGTGTGCTCACATGGGTCTCTACCACTTTCATCAGTTTCAACCGCTTCATCTCCTATCACTGTCGTACCCGAGAGAGTATATATGTTACCATGATGAATGCCCTTCATCACTACCAGGGAACCTCGAACAACCTTCTTCACTATGTTCTCTGTAACTATCTTGCAGCCATCAGAGTTCAAAGCACCAACTGAGATAAGATTCTTCCGCAAGTCGGGAACATGCCTCACATCCGTTAGGGTTCTAAACACTCCATCATGAATCTTGATTTTGATATCACCAAGCCCTACCATTTTACAATCATGGTTATTCCTCATTGATACAGTTTCACCATTAATGCTCCTATAGATAGTAAATCACTTCCTATTTGGGCACATATGGTAAGAGCAACCTGAATCAAGAATCCACTTCCCGGAAATATCTTCACCACCATTAACGATATAACATTCTTTATCGCTCCCTTCCTCCGAGACGTAACTTGCCTCTTCCTTGCCTTCTCTCATCTCGATTTTGTTATTGTTCTTCTTTCCACCTGCTCTCTTGTTAGGATAGTCAACTATGAAATGTCCTAGCTCACCGCATTTGAAACACAATCTTCCTGTAAGAGGTATCGATTTCGATCTAGAATTTTCTCTCTTGTCTTTTTCTTGCTCATTGCGCCTTCCCCTTACAAACAATCCTTGTACTTTCTTCTTCTTACCACTAGTGACCATATCACTAGTTGCAATTTTATGAAGATCATCCATCATAAGCGTCATTCTAGTCTTATCCATCTTCAAATTATCTCATGCAAGCATCAATGTTTGTACCAGATTCTCATAAGACTTCGGTTAAGAAAGAAGTAGTAGAAGTGCTTGATCCTAATCTTCTACTTTCACATCAATGTCTTTCAAATCCGATATGATCCTATCGAACTTGTTGATGTACTCCCAGATTGATGAGCCTTTCTTCATCTTGCAAGTATGCAATTTGGATTTCAAATAGATCCGATTTGTTAGACTCTTTGTCATAAAGGTACTCTCTAACTTTGACCACACCCCCGCCATCATTGCCTCTCCATCCACTAAGAAAGCAACACCCCTCTCAAGGTATAGGATAATCGACGCTCGTGCTTCGAGATCTAACTCTTCCAAATCCTCATCTGACATATCTTTGTGCTTCTTTTCTTTTCCTACCAAAGCCTTGTGCAATTTCTGTGAAATCAACGAGTTTTTTATTTGAATCTTCCAATAAGAAAAATTATTTTTTCTATTGAACTTTTCAATCTCATACTTTCCCACTTTGACTGTTTTACTAGTAGACACCATGCTCTGCTTGTTTTAGTAAATCTTTTTCTCTCAGGAATTTCAACAAACACTTTGTGTGTACCACACAATAACCAAGTACTGCCTCAAATCAGAATCTTTACCACTCCCAATATAAACAAGGGCTCTGATACTAATTGCTGGGAGCATCGACATGTCCACCTCGCCGCGGAAGCAAATCACCTCGAGAGAAAGCCCTTGCTTTTGTTTTCACAAAACACAAGTCAACCTCGATGTTCCAGTTTGATATGAAACAAGAACAGAAATGAATATCTCAGCGAGGTGAGATATACACTCTTCTCAATATCAGATCTAGATCTGAATATCAAGGAAACCAACCAACACAAGTAATAGCCAATACACAACAAAACAATAAAGAAGACACGAGATTTACGTGGTTCGGCAAACTTGCCTACGTCCACGGGAGGGGGTGAAGGGAGATTCCACTATGATGGAGAACATCGACGACTTGCATAACCAACAAGCTCGTCCCAAAGAGATGATACTTTGATTTTACCAAAGAAAGATTATCTCTTTCTTGTACAATCCCTCTGTTGGGGAATCCGAAGCAATCAATCGGATCATTGCCCTTCCGGACCTTGTGTTAAAACTATGAAAGTAGGAAAATACCACAAATAAAGATCTAACCTTGAAAAAATAGTAAATGAGACGAACACACAGATTTAACGAGGTTCGGCAATGTGCCTATGTCCTCGGGAGCCACACCACATAATTCTTTTATTAATTAAAGAAGAAATACAAGCTCTCAAACTAGGGTTTAATCTATCTGAGATTCTCTCTCTCTCTTTTTAGTCAAAAAGCTCTCTTTTTCGTGTCTTACAAACCCTAAAAATGTTTGGGGGTATATATAGAGTCCTGGTAGAAACAGAATCCAAAACAGTTTAGGAAACTGTTTGACTGTGTCGCGGTCGACCGTGACGATCGACCGCACAGGTCTCACGGTCAACCGTGGTGGTCGACCGTATTAAACGACAGAAGCTCCTCAGATTCCAGAGAGTTGAGCGGTCGACCGTGGAGGTCGACCACGATCAAACCCAGTCTCTTCTCAGGCTTGTGCATGTTCGCGGTCGACCGCCGTGGTCAGCCGTGGATCTGTTAGGTCGTCTTC